TGTCCTTCCGGCTTTTATATTATATTAAAATTGAAAATATGAATTTCAATACACGTTTCCTATTCTATACACATACACAAATTTGAACCAGAATAGAAATGATTGTGGCGATCCGAATTCTCATTAACAGAACACTTTTATAAAATTAGTAGATACTAGCTACATTTGAACATTGCACAGATAATACTAGATTTATATCGACAAAATATAGTCTTTTTCATACACGTAATTGCATACGTAATCCATGTATTGGTGCCTTTCTTTTGGAGCGATAATACATAGGGATTTAATACACCTTGCGTGCAACCCGCAACGTGCAAAATATGTCGCACGTGGAATTTTTCACACAATGTAGAAAACACCCATGTATCACCGCCCTTACTTTTCAGTAAGGTAGAGAATGGAAAATTTTGTTTTAAACTTCGATAGGACCAGTAGGTTTAGTTTGCGTTCTTCGTCGAGCCAATTCAGACATAACTACGGGGCCAATATGGGGTGATCTCGGACTACTCGACATCGCTCTATATGTCGCTGCTACGGCTCTCTATAAAGTACATACAATTTATGTTGTTAATTTTACTATAAATTATATTTCAAACATATATCAAACAAGTATAATATACTTTTAAACTATGTGGATCCCTAGTGCTATCAGGTAGTACTTTCTGTGGAAGACGATGGCGATTAGCAATCCACGGATATTTTAATATGGCAGCTGCAGTAGGCCTTCGATTAGGATCAACATGTAGCATTCGTTTGACAAGTTCTTTAGCTTCATTCGAAATTAGACACCATATCCCGCTTTCAACATCAATGTAACCAGGCCCAATACGATCTAATATGTCTGTTGCACTATCACCAGGACTATTACGGAATGGCGTGTATCTAAAGTATGAAATTAGTATTATTAATATTATTAAATAGTTTTCAAATTTTATGTAATCAATGATTATTTAATTACCCGGCTAACATAATATATAACAAAACACCGAGTGACCAAATATCACATGCTGCGTCATATCCTTGACGTTTCAGTACTTCCGGTGCTACAAAATTCGCCGTATAACATGGCGTCATTAATAAACCATTTTCTGCACGTAACTGTTTTGCGAAACCGAGATCACATAAACAAAGCGTTGTTGGATCATCTCCTGTTTTCGAGTACAATATATTGGATGGCTTTAAGTCTCTATGAACGACCTATCGATTACATAAGATAGAATAAGTTCAATCAATAAATACAACATAGAATCAAATTAACGAAGAATAAATAAAATAATTACTCCATTTTCATGAAGATAATGAACTACACTAGCTATTGTATGCATTACTTCGGCAGCTTCTTTTTCCGTAAGATTACGTCTTTGTAATAAACGATCGAGTAATTCTCCACCACGTAATAATTCTAGTACTAAATAAGCTCGCTTATCGTCTTCGTGAACAGCCCTCAAAGTTACAATATGCGGATGTCTTCCATATCGGAGCAGAATTTCTATCTCTTCTGTAGGATCTCTTTTTGATTTTTCAATTACTTTCACAGCATACTCCACCTTGGAAACTTTATGAACCGCCAAATAAACTGTACTGTAGCTTCCTTTACCAATTTCATGTTTAAATTCGTATTCATCAGTCACAGGAACGGGGCTCACGTAAGTTGGAAAAGTTGCACTGAGACTATCACTGTTTTTATATTCAGGAATTTTAATGTGATCCTCAAGAAGGCACGGCGCGACAAAGCTGAATCCACGAAATAATTCGTGGGCATTAGCACTTGGTGGCACCCCAGGAGAATCTAAAATATTTCATACATCTACAATTAGCTTGATTTATTTATAACATATATTATTACCTTTAGGCGTTTTACATGTAAATTCACTATCAAAATAAAATGCATCATCTTCTTGACTAACAGCTGGTTTAAAAGGAGGTTTTATTTCTTTTCTGTAAAGCGCTTCCCAATCGATTGTAGCAAAAAATACATGGTTTTTTATCTCATCTATTCCACCTAAAATAATACAATACAAAATAACAAAGGAATCTATAAGTACCTCTTTTTCCAAAGGAGGACATAAGTAATTACCAGATCCGAGCCTATTAGCAGGATTTCTTTTGAACAGCACTCTAAGAAGTGCTTGTGCTTCAGGTGAAATATTAAGTGGCATTCCAAGTTTTGCTTTTAATATTTGCGTCATTGTTTCTTTTCGGTTTATACCTTGAAATGGAAGTGCCCCAGTCAACATTTCAAACTGAAAATCAAAAATTTATTTATAACTCATACCATCTGAATATCTTTTTTAATAATACAACTAACCATAAGAACACCAAAGCTCCACCAGTCGGCGGCAAACGAATGCCCTTTTCTAGTTACAATTTCAGGTGCCATATACTCTACAGTACCACAAAAAGAGTATGCCTTACAATCATCTAAAGGTTGTTTACTTAAACCAAAGTCAGTCAAAGATATATGACCTTCAGTGTCAAGTAAAATACTGTTGTAAAAAGAATAAATATTATAAAACTTGTTGTATAATATTTAAATGAATGACAAACAATATGACACAAACTTTTCTGGTTTTAGATCTCGGTAAATAATTCCAAGTTTATGTATATGATCCAATGCAAGAGCAAGTTCAGCTAAGTAAAATTTCACATCATCTTCAGTAAACATTACCTACAACAATAATTATAAAAATGAACCAAGTTGATTACTCAAAATATACTGTTAGTATTGTAAACTGCACATTGTGTGAAGTTAAGTAATTAGGAACTACCTCCTTAGCTAATCTTGAAAATAGATCACCACCCCTTAAGAAGTCTAAAATTAAATAGAGATTGCCCTCTGTTTGGAATGCATAATGTAATCGAACTATGAATGGATGCTCAACATCCACTAATATGTTCCTCTCCATTTTTGTTCTAACTCTGTCCCGAACTGAGATAATATTGCAACATTAAACCACTTAAAAAAAAAAAGAGAAATAATTTTTAAGGTGAGAATTGCTCTGAAAATTCCCTTTATAAATTTTAATATAATTATTAACATAATAAAGCATAATCTCTGTATATTATACTTAAAATTAGTTTTTCATTATAGTGTTCTTCATGTTTTAAAATCTTCAGAGCTACCCTCATACATTTAACTTATTAAGCACCTTTCAGTGTAGCCTTTTTTAACACTTTCATGGCATAAAGTGTTCCACTATCCTTTCCAACAATTTTTCTCACCAGGAACACCTAAATAATACAAACATTTCACTTCGTAAAAAATCATATCTCATTAAATCTTATTTACTTTTAATTCAATATAATTTTAAATACCTTCCCAAAAGATCCTTGACCCAGAACTTTAAGCAATTCAAATTGGGATGGATCTGCCTTTTCATGACCATCTCTTACTACTTCGCGTACTTCTATCTCATGAGACTCAGAACACCCATTTGATGGTGGATCAACCACATTTTCTTGACTTATCATTTCCTCTTGAGACTCTGCTGGGAGGATATCTACATCTTGCTACAGAATCAAATTTCTTATAACACAAACTTTTAATTACAACTTAACTTTAGTGAATTACAATGGAAACACTTTTAACGCTAGTCGATCGTTCCAATACGATGAAAACATTACCTTCTCGAGTATATGTTGTTCAGACCAAGGAACTGTCAAATTCGCCAACGGCATTATATTCGACGTCGTGTTATTATCTGTGAAATTGTAGATGTTTTCGTAAAATATTCCTACGTGCGCGGTCGTCATAAATTAACATTTAGTTGTGTTACAGGGGCGCAACGCAGATCACCCTTAAAACGCCAAGTGTTACAGGAATTCGCGGTAAATTGTTAGACGCATGTACAGTATATATTCTGGCACGTATCGACCACAGATAACGCGTTAAACCGAAGGCATTCAAACCAGATTTCTGACGCAAACCGGAAGCACCTGCTTTGTGGCTTTAAATAAAGTCGAACAAAATGGCTGCTTTTCAACAAACTTTGTCATACATGCATTACAAAAATATAGAAAACTATGTATACCTTGAAAAAGATATATAATTGTAAGAAATTACGCATTATAATGCGCAAAATATTTAAGACGCAATATAAGTAAATATTATGTTAAATTAAACTCACTGTACAAAATAATTAACTGTAAGGCCTAAGACACAGGTGCTGTAGATGTTATAACAAAACTTATAACCAGAATAATGACAACGAATATTTCGGTCACGTTTATTTAAATGTTATGGCAAAAGCGAATGTTCCAACGTTTATTACAATGTCACCCGTTTTTTTTTTTTACATGTTATGGTCTCAGCCTAAGATACCATTTTCGCATATACGTTATCGATTTGTCATTAAACAAACAAAAGAATAAAGTAAGAGATATATTAATAAGATACAGACAGTGTATACAATGATAACAATAAATACATGAGAAAGCGATATAGAAAGAAATTAATTCACAATTTCACATTTCTTATTGTTAATGTTCTATCAACGAAATTCTTAGATTATATCATTTACAATGTTAGTGTAGAAAAACATCCTCGTAATCTTTTTAATAAAAATTGTATTTAAATTTTTTAATAAATTGTGTTGTTACCAGTAAGATTAAATAAAGGAATATAAAGCATTTATTTTACTTGTTATAAGACACGTTCACATGGAACATACCCCTGACATCCAACAAGTGGTACAATTTTATATGAAGTGATAGTGTTTCTTAACTATGCGCACAGATGTCGAACTGTAGATAAATTCATGTAGTATGTTTTTGTAAAGACTGTGAGTGATACAGTTGTTGTTTATAACAACCATTTCGAAACTACTGGCGTCGCAAAATAATTAATTCCTTTTTAATTGAAAAAACTATATGTTTTTCATGTAAAATATTTAGATAAAAAAAGAGAACGTTTTGGACATTGATGACCGTTCTAACCTGCCTACTTTGTAGTTCATACAGAAAGAGCTACATAGTATATTTCCACGGTTAATTTTATTAACTTACAGTGACTGTCTCTTCCTAATGATTAAATTGTTACTTATTTAAATTTATATTTAGTAAAAACATTTATACTAATGACATAATCTTAATGATGTGATATCTATTTATGTAAACTGATTTATATAAACACAAGTAATTTTCTTCTGTTGATATATTTGTTTTCCAAGAACAACAAAATGCCATGCTGGTATTATGAAAAAAAAGAATTACGAAATACACCATCTATTCAAGATGGGATTGATTATGAAACAGAATGTCGATATAGAAAGGAAGGTGCAAGATTCATTATTGACACAGGCACAAAAATGGACTTAGGTTATAATACAATGGCAACTGGTGTTGTTTATTTCCATAGATTTTACATGTTTCATTCATTTAAAAATTTTCCAAGATATGTAAGTATCTATTGGTAAATGTATTTTATTCTGGGAAATAGATGTTTTATATTTTACATGTCATATAGGTGACTGCATGCTGTTGTTTATTCCTGGCAGGCAAAGTTGAAGAAACTCCAAAGAAATGTAAAGATATAATTAAAACTGCAAAGTCTTTGTTAACTGAGCAAAAGTTCATGACATTTGGTGAGGATCCAAAGGTATGTTATTTTGATTACTAAAGTAACTTAATATAGAAAGTAATATTTCTATAAGTTTTGTCACTTTATAGGAAGAAGTCATGACATTAGAAAGAATTTTATTACAAACTATTAAATTTGATTTGCAAGTTGAGCACCCATATAGTTATTTGCTGAAATATGCAAAATGCCTTAAAGGTATGTATCAATACAAATTCTGTGAATTAAATGAATAATAAATTAAGTAATATAATAACCACGTTAATAATTATGTGTAATCCCTATTTATTCTTTATAGTTTGTGTACCACATTATCCCTACAGTGGGAACCAGAAATTATAGCTGTTGCTCTCATGTATTTAGCAGGGAAACTTAGTAAATTTGAAGTGGTAGATTGGAATGGAAGACAACCAAAACATTTACGGTGGTGGGATATGTTTGTTGAGGATGTTACTATGGATCTGTTAGAAGGTTCTTAAAAAACTGTACTAATATTTTTTTTATCAATATGAAGAATGAGTATAACCATTTATGTATATATTTAACTTTTTCAGACATATGTCACCAAGTATTAGATTTGTATTCACAAGCTAATAATACAAAACCACCAGATTCACCACCACTAACACCATCTAATGAGCCCTGTAGAGACAGAGCTATAGTAGCACCCCCCACAGAATCAGCATCTACTACACCAAATGGTATGCATACTAAAGCAATATTTTCTTATTACAATACAGAAAAAATTAAATAAATTTCTTATCAATATTGCGTCGTAGTTACGCCAGGAAAATCTACTAAAGTTGAAGCAACTGCAGTCTCTGCAAATGGATGTCCAACTACAGATACTACAGATTCAATGAAACCAATGGATGTGCCAACACACTTCCCAACATATCCAGCCAATTTTGCACCTAGTAATATCAACTATCCACCAGCCTTTCCTCCAGCTAATGTTTCTGTACCTCCCCCTCCTGTAAATACAATGAATCATATTGTTCCACCCATGCATCATATGGGCTCTTCGGGTACCATACGACCTGCACCACCCGCCCCTACTACAACACAAGCACCATTTCAACCATATCCTTATCCTACAAATGCATCATACTTTCCTCCAAACAACCCAGTACCTCCTGCACCTGCACCACGTACATATTACCCACCACAACCTTAACACATACAAATTTGTAACACCAAAAATGCGAATTTTGTTTATGTAAGTGTCACTATTATAATTAAAGTTAGTACTATCCAAAAAGTAATAATTAAATCCTTGTAAATAATGTAAATATTGTAAGGTTTACTATTTGACAATAGTATTTAATTATAAAGCTTTTGTATTATCAATACTTGCATACTTCAATTTCTAACTTAAGTAAGGAAATATAAATATAACATTTCCAAGAAAAAATTAACCAATGTTTTACATATAAAGGTTGCCTTTACTAAAAAAGTCTTTTCCAGCAAATGTAACATTATGTAATGTACAATTCATTGCTGTGAATAATTTTAAAAGAGGTTCTGCAGATAATGAGTCCAGTACAAAACTGTCTGTATACAAAACATACAGAACTGAAGGTAGTTCCATAAATTGGGCATATGACAATACTGAAAAGAAAAGTTTCAAGTTTATTAATAAACTTATATATCTTAAAATATATTTTATATGATTATTTGAATATCAACCTCCTGCTGCAACTCCATATACAATATTTGGCTGTTCTAAGTAGGGTTCTTTTAATTTACAGACATTTTTTCCATTTTCTGTAGTTAACATTCTTAAGAAAGATGGTACTGTTGGAGTATTTTTATTCTTAAATTGTGATATATGACGACATGTCACAGAAATTGTATTTTTTGCACTTGATATAGTTTCACCCATCTAATAAATTAAACGACAGTAATCTAAGTTAATAATATTGAACATTTAGTTACTTAAATTACGTATCCATACCTTGTCAACAAGCTTGGCAGAAAATTTGGTATCGAAGCGCGGAGATACAATGCATAAATACACATTATCATTAACTTGATAAAGTGAACATACTTTCGTTTGATTGTCATCTTCCACTAAACACAATTCTTCAGAATTTTCACATAAACATTTTTTTGAAAAATCTATAATTACATCAAAAACATATATAACACAATGAAAGTATCGACGCCGGTAAAAATAAATATATATTACCAATTAACATTTCGCCTTCTATTACGACTAAAGTATCGATTTGGGGCGGTTTTTCTTTTAACCATCGAACAGAAAATTGACTGAAACACATTTAACAAAAATACTAAAAATGTTAAAGTCTGTTTATTGTGAAGAGGTTATATCGAACAAATATCTAATTTACGGTTGATTAACGGAATTTTGCGTTGCTCCATATTCATCTTCTTCATCCCAAAATGCTCGGGAAACTGGAAATACTACTTCCCCAAAAAAACTTGCCATTTTGTATTGAATAAAATTAATAAAACTCACTACAAAGCACTTTACAGAACGTCGCTCTTAATGCTATGTCATGCCGCTTACTACGCAATGACATCAGGAAAAACAATTGCTCAGAATGTAGTAAACAAGGCAATACAAAAGATATAAAAATTTCTCTTTTATTAATTTTTATAAAATATTATACATTTTATTTCAATAAATTTATGTAATTTTATAACTACGCGACTGTTAAAAAATTATTTATTTATCAATTGTCAATTATACATATTTGTATAAAAAGTACAAAAATTCTTACTAAAATGTCTTTATCATAGAAATATATTTTACACTATTTGTGTTCATATCAACATTGTCTTATTGTACAACTGTTTTTCTAAAATCAACTATATAGACAATTCTTACTTCTTAATAAAATAACAGCACTTTGTTATTTCAAAATTTTTAAAGAAATTATCTGCTTTCAACATCTTATCTTATTAAATGATATATTCTTTCTTTTTGGTTTTGAGTCTTGTTAATTTGGACCCTATATTGTTCTGTGGATTTTATATAAGTGTCCCATATATGTATCTATCTATATATATATACACATATATATATAGACTCAATACAATCCTCATATAACTAAAATATTCTAAGAAATGAGCATTGCAGTTATAAAGGTACAACTTTGTGACATATTTTGGTATCTAAAAATACCTTACTAACTCTGTAGACATACTACACTGTTTTAAAATATACGATATAAAATCATGTATTTAACACGTGATATATATACTTCCCAAGCTAAACCATAACGCATTTTGCAACGTTCATTGTCTCTTATCGCTCTGTGTATTAACAATCCTGTGCATATAATTGCATAATAATAAGGCAAAATATCACATGCCAAACTTATACATGATATCGACCACCACATTATTATATCACCCAAATAATTTGGATGTCTCACGTGACCCCATAATCCAGATATTATAAGCTTTTTACCGCGAACGGTTGGTATACTTTCTAAATCTACAAAATAATTATATAATATATACAGTAGTTTTCTTAACTTTAATATTAGTTTCAACATATGACTTTATACTTACGCGCTAATGAGGCAGATAAAGGATTCTTTCGGAACTTATCTTTTTGTGAGTTACTGATTCTATACAACAAATATCCAACTATAAACGTGAGTACAGGAAAAACAAAGTGGTAAACAAGTTGCGTCCTAAAATTGAAGAAATAATACAATAGTTGTAATTCCAAAATCTGTTACATGGAACTGTTGTATTTCACATTTAGTACTCACTTGTGATACAGTATATATTTTGTCGTAAGAGTCGGTAAAAATGGATAAAGCATGTAACCAGTGCATAACATATAACCAGTGCCTTCATACATAATTTCGAAAGTTGTCAACATTGCAGATTCAAAGAAAAGTGCATCCATTGCATAAATTATTTGCAATGAAGTGGCTAATAAAGCGCCTATATTAAGATGTTCGAGACTATAAGTTTCGGCTTCTTCAATTACTTTAACCATGATGGACATATTTATGAGAATCTATAATTTAAATACAATCATACAAGTTTTAATTTATATAGCTTATAAATAAGAAAGTTTTTTTTTAAATTATTACCATAGCTATCACAGATGTTCGAAAAAGATTTATTTTGAAATCTAGGGGGCCAATTCGTGGATTTATTTCTTTTCCTTGCCAAAAGTTGTAAATTGCACTATCAGTAGATCCCTGTATATTAAGATTTGCTACGGGAGCTTTACCTCCTTTTATAAATAGCAACAGTGACAAGATTACTCCAAGTATCCAACCACTAATTGCAAATTGTACATAATTTTTTATAATGAGATCAGCGACTTCGAGTTCTTTATATACACCCACAGTAAACAGTAGCACAGATAAAATACCACATAAAAATCCTGAGAGGATAGAATGGAATTATTCAAATTTCATACAAATGGTCAATCTTCAAAATGTATCATTTACATATTAAGTTACCATTTAAACGATACTGTAGCCTTCCAATTCTACTTTGTGGTCCGTCAACTTTTCGTCCAATCGGAGTGATCGAAACAATCGTTACAAATAAAAAGAATCCAAAATATATAGTAAAAGCTTTAAAATTTATGTAAGAGTGTAAATTTGTAGGTATTTCAGGATACCCAAATGTGCATTGATTTTCTGTACACATTAACTGCGGCAAGATTATAAGTACAGGAGAAAGAAATATGAGAGTGAGGGCACCAAGCCATCCACCCCATTCTTGTGGTTCACTAACCATGCTTATTTCTTTCTGACGTTTTTCTATTACTTGCTTACTTAAATCCACATTTTCCTCATAATTTGAAGTTTTTAATAAATCCTGAAATCAAACATTAATAAAATACATTCAATATTTAGACTATTTAACAACAAATAATTTAAATATACAAACAAATCTTACTTGGTCTCTCTGTACCGAGTGACCCCTCTCTTTCCCGTCAACGTTAAACTCGTGCATCAGACTTTTCCTTTCTAAAGGAAGAGATACAGCTCTGTTAATATTTCTTGTTAGCATAACCATTTTATAGTCTGCTTCTGCTCTTAGCGTATTAGATAATAATCTCGTTGATCTACGTGAAACCGTTCCTAGTTCTTTCAACCGCATTTGAAGGGGCATTGATTCAGCAAAATTGTCTTCTTTTGGATTTTTTATACTGATAACATTGTCTTCAGCACGTGTTTCTATACATTTTATAAAGCAACAATTGAATTATTTAATGATGTTGTTCAAAAACAGTACATCAGTAGTATCAGTACATTTACCATTAGGTATTTCTATACGTGGCAAAGAAACCCTTGCAAGTTTTTGAGTTTTTGTAGCTTGCTTATTTACAGATGATGGAGATCTTCCAGGTGAACGTTTGCGTGAAGATGCTCTGGCTGGTGAGTATCTAGAAGGACTTTTCCTATTTCTAGTACTTGATCTTGTTGTACTCCTAGATGTTCTAGTTTCCTGAAATTTTGGGAAGAAAATTTATAAATAAAGAAATACTAAATAAATGACATTTAAACACCTCAATACATATCTTGAACATTATCAAAACCATACCTTAATATCAGTTGCATTAATATATTGTTCAATGCCTGTGTCAAACTGTACTTTGTACCGTTCTCCCCTCATATTTAATACTTTAGCCTTTTGATATTCCTCTGTGTTTGGATGCTTTACAAGCACTTCTTCTCCTTCTGAAAACTTCATTTTTGTACCTAAAAACCAATAATGACCTATAAAGATTCGTTACGTTACATAACAGTTAAATATATCAGGTATGCAGACAAATTTTTGTTGTATAAAACAGTTACATTCATTTTTACAAAAAATATTATCATATTACATCGTTCTATTGACAGTATTACTAAAACAAACAGAATATTGTTCAAAATTCTTCCGACCGTAAACCATCGCCTACATAAGGATTCATGAATTAACTTCTAACATATCAAAATGTTAATCAATGTTTTTTAATAACTTACACTCAGTTTCACTTAAACGACAGCAATATCTTGTAACGAGATTCCAGTTGGTTTAAAAATACGGGAGCTTCTAATCGTAAGGTTATTATTAACGCTTTTTTTTTGCATCATAACACGAAGACGCTCACACACTATGGTGTTCCAAGATGCATAAAATGCAGGCCACGCTAAATAGTATTTATCGCTCTTATTACGATGTGTTCACAAAGGAGCAATTTCAAGTGTAAATATGTTCATACCATTGTAAATGTATAACTTTAAATAAAAATGCTTTCCAAGGTGATTAAACATTTGCATTAAATTTATGATTATAAAAAAATGTACAGCAACGTACAAAAGTTAAAAACGTATAAACGTATAAAAGCGAATCTAGCAGCATAGGGTGCATTCGCAGGGTGCATTCATATGATACAAACCTTATTTTCATTAAAAAGTTTATTACGTTCATCATTTTTCCAAGGAAATTTTAATAAAACACACAAGTTTTACAATTCCCTTGTAATTTACAGCAAAAAAGGAGCATTCGTGGTGCGTCGAAAATAATCTCTAAGTAAGAAAATGCTATTAGAAAGTGCAGACCAATTGGATACATCGTTCAAATGTTTTAAATCGTACTGCGTTGACGTAGAAATCCGCGCACCTTTACAATAATTTATATTTCAGCGTTCCACGCAGGTTATAATAATTTACACTATGACAGATGAAATTTTTTCAAAGATTGTCAATATGTTCAAAGTATTTCCCGACTTGTAAATCCGTTAAGCATAATAAAAGGCATTATTTAGAACGGGGCAAAATTCAATTGAAAAAAAAAAACATGGACAGTGGTTCTCAGGAAGATCAAATAGACTTAAAAGATGAAGAACAATTTTTGGTATGTTTGCAATCGGTTCGTGTTTCTATCGTTTGAACAACGATCGGCATCGTTCATTTCCACACACTGTGGTTTGTAGAATATAAAAAGCAACCGGAAGTGACGCTAAAGGAAATCTACTTCCGCGTAATTTTCAGATGTCCGTGGAGGACACCCTGAGCACCGTCCAGAAAAGTATCCATAAGTTTGTAAAAGATGTTCCACAGGCGCTCGTTAATTCTGGATTGGATTTCGATTTAGAGAAACTAAATTTAGACGACGGCCAGAAAATACAGGATTTCGTTCGTTCGTTCCCGAAATCGTTCGCCGACCAACCGGATAAAGAAGGTGGAATTACATTAACCGTTTTTTCACCCCCTTAAAATTGTAACACGTCTCGTTAATTCTGATTTCGTATGGATGTTTACAGAGGAGACAGAAAAAATTTCAACGTTGGAACTCGAGTGTGAAAAATTGCGCGGTCAATTGCAGCAGCAAGTAGACGGTAACAAAAAGGCCCAAGAAGAAATGGAATATTTAAGAGAACAAGTGATTTGGAAATAATTGAACCTATGAATTATTCATTTGGTCTCGTACTCGTTTATCGCGTCGGTGTACATATGTATATTATTTTCGTAGATACTGAATCAAAGTACATACTGTGCAAGTTTGGGGGCAGTATTGGGTAATTTAACGTGGCGCGCCTCAAGGTTCCCGGAAGTCGTCGACGTCTGGCTCTCCGGGGTAAATATATCCAACGTTGAAGAATTCAATGAACGGTGTACAATTTAAAAACCGAAGTACCGTTACAGTTTCAGCACAAGATCGGCGAATTTTTCTCAATAACAGACGGAAGTTTCGTCGCGTTTATAAACACTTATAGAAATGCTTTTCCTCCCACTTGTAACGTTGAATATCAGTTTATAATTGGCTTGATAGGCATTGTGACAAATATATCAGCGAGCGCTGAGGGACGTGAATTTTTAATCACCGATCAGAACGGCAGAGCTTTCGTACAGAAAATGGTGAAGCTTATGCCAACGTTACCGCTTTCACAAGGTTCTTTAGCGTTAAAGAGGTAATCTTAGAAACGACCGATAATTAACAATTTATTCGTCGTTTTATTTTATAACGTGTTTTGTTTTCTTTCTTTTTTGTAGGTTAATGCTGATGATATTCTATAATGTTAGTATGAATAAAACCGGGTTGCAGCATCTGTTCGAGTCTCGAGTAGGCGACGTGCTGAATTATTATCTAAAGAACAATTCTCTACCGGACGAAATACAGTTCTTATGTCTACGTGTGTTGCAGTCGATCACGTACGGTCTGACTAATCCTAGACACATTCAAGACTTGATCACGAGCCTGCCGATTGGCAAAATAGAGGACATCGCTACGTCTAATAAAAGCGAGATCAGCACGGTCGCTAAACAAGTGATAAAACAATTGCGAGATTCGCAGAAATACATCGGTTCGAACTGAACACTTGTACATACAGGCTGCAATTAATTCTTTCCCTCTATCGCGAACAATTTAATAATAAGAAAGAAATTTCGTTGATGCGGCGGCTATCTTCTTAGATTAACTGGAATCGGTTGGTTCAAGTGAGAACAGCCGGGAATAATACAATGTTCGTGGAAGTTACAGTTTGCGTTTTCACTGAAAGAGATTGTTTAGGCAGATGTCGGGTTTTCGAATTGCCGCACTATCAAACATCAGGATATCCTTGAAACGTGTTCGTGAATAGTCCGACAACTGTCGAATATCGATCTGCCTTATGCGGCTATAAAATAAAAGCAATTGTGTGGAATAACGTAGGGAATAAGTACGGAATCGATTATGCATACAGTTGTATAGAGGAACGTAATCGAGCGCGTTAATATTTTGCCTGTGTGATTAAACCAATTATGCAAATATTTTGTAACAGTGTGGACGCTACGTTTATTCCTTTTAATGAATTTACATGACTCGATTAAACGACGAATGAAACATAGACGAGCAGTTGTTTTATTTTTTATTTCTGCTCAGCATAATACTCGCAGATGAAAGATGTTTAATTTAACACGTGTAATCTGCATGCAAAAAAGCGCACAACAGAAGGATACGCGTTTGTCGCGGACGCTCGACAAACACACGTTAGACTAAATTTCATTGAGAACCGATGGCCTTCAACTTCGAAGGTTGCGACAACGAGCACTGCAGTATCCCGTTTCCTCGAACCGCGCAGCCCCAGCGAAAACATTCGCACGTGTATACACGGCGCACTTCGTGATTGCAAAAGACAGCGTGCCACTCTCGGTTCCGATAAGCCGGTTAATTACTAACCGGCTGCCTGAAATTATAACCGTGAAATGTGGTTGAAAAGTACGTAAGTATCCGCAAATTTCAACCTGCCAAATACATGTAACACGAATCGATATATGTATACCAAGATCGATACATGCAGCAAGACCTATATCGTACTACGTATATATACATATACATATATATGTATGTGTAAATAAATTACACGAATTTTCGAAATAAGCGATTCAATTTCATTAAGAGGACAAAAAAAAAATTCACAAATACCGTCCCATTATTCATCTTCCGTGCTATCACATATTTTCAATCTTACTCACGATACGTTCTAACTATAATGAGAAAAACTGTCCATCAATTCTCGTGAAAAATGAAGAAAAACAAGAAAAAAAGAAACGTGACGTTAACGGAAATAGTAATCAAGAGGAATCTGTATGTTGTCCCGCATAAAGAGACGGAAAGAATGGCGAGAGAAGAAGAGAAAGAGGGACAAGACAAATAGAAGGGCTAGGTATAGGCGTATGCAATACCGACCAGCTATCGCGTCGATAATCGTGCTGCGCATGCTCGTGGCAAGAGGCCACGTGGGGGCGTGCGCGAGCAGAGATCGCGCATGCGTACCACCGCGCAACGTTCGGCGCGTTCAGCGGTCGCGGCGCGAATCGCGGTGGTGGGGGGTACGCGTCGCGACGTCGGGCGTCGCGTAAACGGGAGATCACGGCACAGGCAGGCAGGCAGGACCTAGGAAAGGCGACGGCCGGGCGGTCGTTTTATTGATCCCGGGGCGCCGCGGCGCTACCCACCCGCGGCGGGATCGTCTGCGAGAAAATTCTCTCCAACAGGATTTTCCACGTTCTCCTAAATCGTCCTGGATTGTACCGTGGAATAAGCCTTCGCGAAAACGGTGACACCGTTCTTATTATATTTTTCTAATCGTCCGTTTGATACGAATTGTGACGCGAACGAATTGATACGGGAAAACGGATCAACGGGGAGGCGGTACACGTAAAGGTTCCCCAGAGAAAGAGAAAAAAAAAAAGAAACAAAGAAAAAAGGTGGATCGAATTTTTGTGGAAAAGGTCGTGCGCGGGTTGCAACTAAACATCCTGGTCATCGTCATCGTCGTCGTCGTCAAGGGGTTCGAACGATCTGAATTTGGTGCCGGTGGTGGCGGTCGTGTCGCGACTTCGTCGAATTGTTACTCATAACGAGGAACCGGGAAAAGTAGGCAGCCGGTGTGACGTATTATCGACGCATAAACGTCGAAGCAGAAATTTATTATCCTTTCACGTCGGATTTTATTAGTTGCCTAGAAGATCTGCTCTTTTTTTAACTGTGTGTGTGCACAGTAGTGGTATGGTCTGCATCATCAATGGACTGAAAGAAAAAAAATAGAGATAAAGGTAAAAGAAGAGAGTGAAAGAGAGAGAGAGATAGGAGAGACGCGGTGAAACGCCCGGAAGAAGCTGTCATCGAGCAGCTACGACTTCCAGGATTGTTCATGCAGCGCCGATGGAGGGTTTATAGATCGAAAGGGGGCGCACCGGACCGCCCTAACCAGGTGTCATCCGGCTGGTGATTGCGTCGATCTCGTGTCGTTCCTCGTCCACCGGGGACGCGGACACCCGAGATCGCGGACGTCTGGGTGTCTCGATTCGTTTAAGGCAGTGTGAGAAACCGACGTCCTAGGGTAGGCGCCGCGGCGCCGACATGGGCCCCGCTAGCAGCCGCGAACAGATCGGGGAGCAGATCGGTGACGATGATGGACTGCAGATCAAGGCGAAACCTACGGCTAATAACATCGTAAGTTTCACTAATGTTCTCTACTTTACCTTCAGTTTTTTTTTAACGTATACCATCATTCAGAAAAATTTTCGTACACTCTGTAGAAAGGATATATTTGTCTTAACGCTTGAATTATCAAAGCAAATTCAGTTCTTTGAATTGCGACATAAATAAAAAAAAAAAAAAAAAGATAAATAATTTAAAAAAGAAGAGGAATATATAGTAATTATTTTATAACTTGTTTCGTATTTTTGTGAAGGTAACCTTTTCACGAGATGTACGAAAACTTTCACGAGCAACTGTATGTCACATACCCTTTGTTCTTTCCACTTTTAGTCCTCATTTTTTCATAGTCATCGTTTCATGATTCAACTGGCATTTGCGT